AATTTGAACAAAAAAAAATCATTAACTTCAATAACGAAATTTAAGTTAAGATTGAATTGAAAAAATAAATACTATTGAATTCCCAATTCTTCGTCCGTCCATTTACTGGGATCTGGATAGGAGAATTCTCCAATAATATGTTCATAGTCCGTCCATAAATGCCATAGAATCCACCACCAGAAGAAACCTCCTATATACTCGGCGCACTCTATTAACTTCCTATCCGGTTTCGAAGAGCAGCGATAATTCCACTGGACGTCGTGAGACATTTTCCGCACAGATGTTACACATTTATAACTATGAAACATCTTTTTCAAAACGCTGCTGCCTCTCGAAACGATCATGTTGAAATGTATTCTGAAACTGAAAACGTCAAAACTAATGTCAAATGTGTATATAATTTATGTAATTGATAATCTCTACATATTAATTAACAATATACATCATTCACAAATTCAACACTTCAATTTATTTACGCCAATATAATAATATATAGAATGATTTATTACTGTTGTGTTGTTGCGAATTTTCATTTAATTTAATGATTTTTTATCAAGAGTGTCAAAAGCAATATATGATAACAGATTAAAACAAAAGTATTAAATTATTATGATTTGATATCTGCTAGGATGTTGATGTGTGTGTTTTGTAATTGCTTGTGGTACATTACGTGCCATGATGAAGATTGATTGTGATGGTCTTATAATTGATGCTTTCAAATTTGCTGTTATGTGCATTACAAGAGAGCTCTTAATAATAATTATGTAATTTACAAAAAATTCAATATTCATTCATTTTGAGTAGTGTTTGTTTATATTTGGAGGTTCTTTTCTCTTCTTTTATTATCGACTATAAGATTATTAGTCAAATGATGGTGACTATTGGTTTATTTCTTTAATATTATATATTAACAAAGTGTACAATTATTAGAATTAATCTAATTACTTACGATTTAATTTGTACAAGTTCCTGTCAAGTACTTTGAAAAGAGCAAATGTTTAATAAACAATATATGGTTGTCATGGAATCAAAGCATATTCCGTTTACACGACGCCATATTTATATTATATTATAACGCGATTTCTACCGTGTTATAAGAAAAGCGCGATCTAAGAACTCGGAATTAATACATGTCAGAATTATTCAAATCAGTTTTAAATGACGTTAAATCCATGAAATAGTAAGAATTAATCTGTTTTTTGTTGTAAAAATTACTATATGTTCTATTTTTAAAATATTTAATAAACAGGTCATTTTGACCCATAGGTAGTACCAGTGTTTTATTTATTTGTTCGTAGTGGTTACGGTATTAGTTTACGTAATTTTTATTAGGTAAACACTTTAACACTTTAATATTAAACCTAAAAAAATAAAATCGTACTAATCTGATTAAAAATAGAAATCGCAAAGCGGAAAACGGAAAACGGGAGAGTTTGAGACAACCAGGAAATACTTTTGACGAAATTATAAAGTTAGCAATGCGTCTATAAATATTCATGGAGTTTGAACTTTCGCTGAATTTTCCTGTCATTTAAATCCAAAAGAAAATAACTTAAGCTCAATGAATTTATTAAACAAAACCTTAAATAAAATATACACAACGTCCCTTCATTGTTCATTATTTATTTTCTGCATATTTCTATTGAAAACTGATCTAATTAAAAAAAAATACATTTACAAATATTTGATTTAAATTTCTTGTTCGTTATCAATTTTCATTAATATTGTATATATTTGTAATGATAAATAAACACAATTATTAAATTTCAATATTTGAAATGAAAACTAATTAAAAATACAAATTTTATATAAAAAAATATTCATAAAGAAATATTCATAATTAATTAATTTTGTGCATATTTCATATGAAAACTGATCGAATTATTTATTTCCAAATGTTTAAATAAAATAAACAACGTTATTATTCATTAATTTTGCGAATAAATAAAATAAAAAATTGATGGAATTTTTAATTTACACAAACAAATATGCATTGATTTGCAATGATATCAATTCATTCATTAGTTTTTTCGAATATTTGAAACGAAAACTGATCCAATTATGCGAGTTCACATAAAAAAGAAATCAATACGTATTTGCAACGCGTTTCACCATGAGGAAAATTTATGTAGTGCATATAAATGATTTCATTATTCACATATCTGCGGAAACATATTTGACTCGCAAAAAAAGCCTAAAAGGATATGTTGTTTACATGAAGAAAAAAAATGCATTTATTCGGATGATAATATCGATGCAAATGAATTTGAAAGATTCTACTAATCAATTTGTAATTGCTTTTCAATAATATTTAATCTTTGTTTCGCAGCAATATTTACAGACATCTTAAGAAAAGGACGAGAAAAAACAACTTTATAATAACATTTTTAGGTGTGTTATTGACAGATTACCCAATCGAGTTTACTGCTCAAGAAGCGGACGACTTGACGCTGTGTTTGTGTTTGCTGTGTATGAATGAGTGTGAGCATGGAATATTCGATATCGTGTTTGTGCGTTCAATCAATTGAACTTAATGTGCGATTTTAGTCTGCCCGAAACCAGACTCCAAAATTAAGCAGTGTAAAGTTTAATTAGCTCGCTATTATTAACGCGCAATGAGCGGCTGGAAGATTTCTAAAGTGGGTATCTTAAAAGGAAATTAATACTTTACCCGAATCCAAGTTCGCTTCAAACGCAAAACTTTAATTAACTATCATATTTTATATTCCATATCAAATAGGAATACTAAGTTAACTGGCAACTGATTTTAATTAAAAATAGCAAAGTTACATTTGATTGCAATGATTTATCTATGTTAATGCTTTAGTATTAATAGAGTGTTTACTAGACACCACTGAAACACCTTGAAACTAGAATAAAACAACACAGAATCTTCTCTCTGAATAAGATTAAAACTTAGTTTTTAAAGACAAAAATACTATGATCATTAATGAGTTACGTTTACGTTCCTTCAGAAAGAAAAAGCACAAACTCTTTTCGTTTCGTCTTATTAAATAGTCGACTTACATAAAAGTTAAATAATATGAGTATAAAGTTGATTGTATGTACTTTAAACTCATTCATATAAGCAATTATAGCATTTAACACTGATCACTTTACAATAAGACTTCCATTTTTAGTAAAAGAAATAAACGTTTTCAATGCCATTAAACACCTTTATTAATCTTTAGTTGTTAGCATTTCTATATGCACTTCTTTGCTAATCTTCTAAATTTTCTATTGAAAAACCATCATCTTCTGAATTCAATTCATTTATATCACCTTCTTCATCGTCATTTTCAAAACATATTGATTGATTCATATGGATAACTTGGTTTTCTTTTGTATTTTTCTTCTTCTAGTTCAACTATTGAGCATATTTTGTCAAATAGTAATTTATTACAATTTTCATTAATCATTTTCTTCATTACATTCTGAATAAATATCCTGATTTTTCTAGTCTACACATCTACTCAATTTTATTTGAACTAAAAATAGGAAACTATTCGATTTCAATAGTCAGTACAAAAATGTATTACTATTTGTTTTAACATTTATATTTTAACAATTTGAGACATTTTTATTTATTTATATACGACTATTACCATAATGCGGACGAGCGGATATATCAACCAACGAATTTTAGTTCTTAAATACTTTCTTTGTGATTGGACTTTTTGCTAATGCAAAATGAACAGTGTTATTCGCTTTTAGAGAGTTGATACAAAATGATTTGTTGTCG